CGGGTGGGGGACAGGCCGCGGGGGCGGCCCGGGTTGCGGAGACAGACTGTCTGACGGACGGACAGACAGACAGACAGGCGCACTCCGCGCCTGGAGACTTAAATTCTCCCTGAGCGCCAAACCTCGTGAGGGGCTCGGTGTGCGGTGTGCTGGGTTTGTGCCATCCCCGGAGCTCTCACCGAGCTGCGGCAGCGCCGTGCCTGGGAGCTGATTTTCCCATGTAAAGAGCTTCAGTGGCTTGTTAAAGTCGGCTAGGAAGGTCTCAAGAAAACCTGTGGAAGTAATGATTGTTTTTCATTCCTGCCGTGGGCGTGTAGGTGAGCCCTCCAGAGAGCTTTTCTTAAGAGCTGTGCAGCTTCAGATGTGTCGTTGAGTAAAACGAGGGGTCTTGGGCGTTGGGCACGGGGGGCTGGCTTCCTTCTGAAAAGAATGCATCACTAGAAGTCCACTTGCTAAATTTCACCACCAAAATAGTACTAAATGTGGCAATGCATTTGTATTTTTTCAGTTAAAATTAATGCAAGCATTAAGATGTTCAGCTGAATATGGTTATTTTTAGAACTCTGAGGGTTTGTCATAAAATGTGGTAAATCCCTTGATTCAGAGGCTCAGTTTTGAGAAAAATAAGGATTGAGTAAAAAAATGAAATAATCCTCTTCAGAAGCAATAATGCCTCCCATTAAAAGTCTGATATGCCCTAGATGAAGAAAAAGCTTAATCTCTGAGCTCATCATCCTGAAGGACTAGATCTTCTGAGAATTAGGCTTAAAATGTGTTTTTTACCTATGTTTTGCACCGTACGCAGTGGTTGAATCTGGTGGCTGCAGTTTTCCAGGGCTGCCTGCCCTGTGCTGCTCGTGTTCCCCAGGCAGACTCTGAATCCCGAGTTCCCTAACGCGGTGAGGGGGTGGCCTCGGGTGCTGTCACTGAACTGCGATTTCTTTAAAGACACTGTGATTAATGGGACCGGTATTTCAGCTGTGTAAGGCAGGTCCGTAAACATTAATTTCCAGGTGTTAGAAAGTTAAAGCTTAATTATAAAGATGCTGACTTTATCCCAGAAGATTTCCAAGCTTGGTTATTTGGAAGGGTTTTTATTGTTCAGGAACTCGTTTTTTGCTGCATTTATGTTTGGTTGCTACTGTTTCTACTAGAAACCTGATTTTATAGTGTTTTATTAATTCCTGTTGAGTCCTGGTGTTAAGAACTGGAAGGGAAATCGAGAAATCAAAGGAAGCAGTGACTTTTTTGTGGCTTGAATCTGTGATATGCTTGGTTACAGTAATGAAACCTTTTTTTGAACTGATGTAGCCTGGGATTTAGTGAACAGCTACTGAAGGCTTGTTTAACAGAGCCACTGCTGACCACTTTTCAAATCCCCCACCAAGCCCCCATGCCACCGGAGAGGTTTTAATGTCTTAATTTTAGCAGAAGTTTACAGTTCTGTTGGCAGGATAAGTTGCAGAAACAGTTAATTAACTTGATTTTTTCTGAATCCTGTTGGCTTTAGTGCATTTGAGGTAGTTTGAGTAGGATAACGTGCAGCTGTCAAAATACTGGATCACAGGTAGAGCTGTATGGGGGGCGTGCCCCAAATTTTTTACTTTGCTTGTACAATTGAGGATATGAATAGATTTGGTGAACCTCAGCAGTTATCAAAGTGTTTCATTTCTGTTACTGTGTTGCTGCTATTTGTCTTTGATAATCATTTGGATAACTACCTTAGATAACAATTCTCTGTTGTTTGCATAACTAGCTTGTATTTGATTGCATCTCTGATAACTAATATTATATATATTTCTGCTTACATAAGCTAACATTTACATTGCTTTGGATGGTTCTTTTGGCTTTAGACACTCAGATGTACATTGGATGTACACCTGATTATGTTTTTATTGCTAATAGTCACTTCCAGTAACTTTTTTTAAAAAATGTATTATCTGAAATTCTGCTAGTTCTTATCTGCAGTGTAAAAGTATGAACTTCCTTCTCTTCTGAGGGGGCTTGGGGACAGGTCTGTTCAAGAGAAGCTCTCTTCCCCAGGGGTACTCTTGGTTATTTGGCTTTTACAGGTCCCATCTCTGTGAAATTCAGAAGCCTGCTGAGCATTGTAGGTAGTCTTAATTGACTATATATATCGATACAATTATTACTACAAAAGGATATTACTGTCCTTTCCTTGATTTTCAGATGTCAGTTTGCTGTTAGTAATTACTTTTGGCTGTGGCCATGTGAGGGTGTTGGGGAGAATACTGAAATCCTGAGTTCAGAACAGGTGGAAGGGTACTCATCCCCCCACCCCCATGATGGGCTGTGTAAAAACAATGTAAAGCTTATCACAACAAAGATTTCAGGCTTTTGTTGTGGTTTTATAAAAGAAATTTCTTTGTGATGTTCCTGGGGGTAAAGCTTTGAATGATTACTTGTGATGGAAGACTGAAACATCAACGTTTCTGTAACGTCATATTAAAAGAAAATAACGTGGAGGGAGGCAAGGGACTTCTGATCTGAACCCCTTGATGATGCCTTGTGATCGCCTTCCCAGGCGGCCCGGGCTGTCACCTGCCCGCCGGAGCTCATAAACAGGGAGGTGGCTGCGGGCTGGCCGCTCTGGTGTTGTGGGGAGCGGCTGCTGCCGTGTGACTGCCGCCGGGCCTGGGCCGCCGCACGCTTGTGCTGGGGAGCTGAGCCCTGTGGCCTCTGTGTGCTCATCACACGGCCCATGAGACAGCCTTGCCGCAGAAGGGAAGGAGGCAGGAAAAAACATTTGGGTGGGTTTTTTTCCTCTGTTTTTCATGACTCTTAGATTACTTTAGTAGCTACGGTGTTGTTTACCAAGATTCACTAGTAGTCATAATGATAATGCAAATACTGAATAACTTTTTGTTTACATTGTACTGTTGACCACTAAATGTAAATGCAGTTGCAACATTTGTTTCCCATCACTTTTGTACTTAATCTGACCTCATGTTTCTTTCAGTGATAATATTTGCATTGTGGGATAAGCTACCTTGTGTTAAGATGATCCCCTCAAGCTCCTTTACAAAAGCAAGAAAATTTATAAATTGATGTCAGTGTATTTCCCCATCATTTTGCAATTGGATGTAATATGATTTTTTTATTTTTTTTTTTTCCAAAACTAACACATGTTTTTGTGGCATTTTATCTGGGCAGGAGGGGAAAGCAGACAGATGCATGTGAGTGCCCCATGGCTGCAGCTGCCTCAGTTCACTCATTTATTGCCTATTGTAACTTGGAAGCATTCTTTAGGTAAGAAAGTTGCTTCAAAATATGTGGTTTATAAACTTAATACACTTCTCTGTTGAATCTTTAAACTGCATCTCAGTGTTTCATGCTCTCAGTTATAATGTTATTTAAGCTTGCTCTTTATATGGGGCATTATCAAGCTTTTATCTGTTAGACACTGACAGTACTTATGAATATTAGTTCAGTGCTGTACAGACTCTGCTCACTTCACAGGAGAGAGAACATGTGATACTTGCAGACTGCAATACAGGGCCACCATAAATGACAGATTTCTTCAGGTGCCGCCCACAAACAGAGTTACTAATGAGTATCAGCTTTCTCTTTATAGACAGGCATGACTACTCAGCTCTAAATTTTCTGTTGTGTGAGCTGAGCAGCAGCAGATTGCAGTACTTGGGTTTGATTTTGTGTGGAAGGTGGGGGCTACTTCTCATGTATTCATAAATAATGTATGCTACACCTTTGTTAAGCTTGGCATCTATAAAGCTGATGTTAACTAGGTAGTTTTTCTAAAGGTGATGATATGATCTGGGAGAATCTAAAGTCTTGTCCAGTTTTTAAAGAAAAATAGAGAAATTCAGCATTGGAATATCTCTATAGATGTTATTACTGGTTGAACACAATACCTGGTAAACAATTCTGTTTCTACAATCTGTCATGATTTAGTGAGGTGGGTGTTGCTGTTATTGTAGCTTTCCATTAAAGCATCTTCAGATAATGTAAAATTGGTAACTGGGTATGGGGGGTTGGGATCTATTTTCTCATAGTGCATCGAGATACTCTCATACTAAGACACAGGATAGTTTTTTCATTAGTATGTGGGAGGATATTTGTACATTATTGATATATTTTTTTCCAGATACAGTTTAATTAGCCAAAATTGTTTGTTTACTGTCAAGATTATCATGGTGCAGTAAGCATACTTTTGGAGTAAAAGTGAGTAAATTTAAAGTCAAGAATCTTTAAATGTCAAACTATTAGAGGTCCTGTCTTTAAGTATAACTTTTGATTCACATGGTTTTGTTATAGAGTGGGCTGAAAAAAACCAAAACCATTTGTTATCAGGGTTTGTAGTTTTCTTTGGGTAATACTCAAGAATTCAGAGGTGTATCTGTGTTGCAAGAGTGGTTATGCGACTAAAACTGGAGATAATACAAAAGCTATTTTTTTGCCAACAATTACACCTTCCCCTTAGTAAAATGGTATTTTCCAGATAACGTTTGGTAAAACTAATGTGCTTGTTACATTCTGTTGCTCTGCTTCCACATCTGCCCTCAGAGCAGTGGGTTCTGTTTGTCTCAGTCTCTGTTCCAGGATTGATGTTAGTCCTTTCTATGGGTTTCCCAGACAGTGCAGAACAGTTTTTCTTTGGTTGGTGCTTCACAGGTCGGTTCGTCTTCTGGGACCCTTCCCTGCCTTCTGGTTAAGGAATCCGTGCACACATACAGGATGACTCAACAGTGGGATGGATGTTCAGATACCAGAAAGGTGCTGGTAACTTGACAGGAATCTCCACATTCTTTGGAGGTAGGGTTGTGTGTGTGTGAGTGTAAACCTCTCATTTGAGTGCTGCCTGGGTTATATCACATGGGACTGTCATTTAGCCAACTTCAGTTGTGCTTTAAAATATATACTGTTCATAAGGACTTAGAATGAAATAAGGATTCTTACTTTTGCAGCGAATATAGGGGCTTCATGTTTGTTAAAAATGTTACAATGCATAACCAATGGAACCTTTTTCTGGCTTTGCATCCCACACAGAATAATAGGAATTCATTTTGCTAGATATAAAGGACTGTAGTGTACAATACTAAACATAGACATTCTGGAGACAGCAGTTTCTAAAGGCTGTAACAACAAGAAAAAGTGCTGGCCAAATTCCAGCAGGCAGAGCTTAGATGCTGTGTATACCAGCATTACCATGCTGCATCTCTTCCTGCATCTGGAGTGCTGCTTCTGGTCTGTAGCTTGATCTGTGGTTTAGGGAAGTGCCCTTTCTGGTTGTTCTCAGATGTCAGAGTTTCCTTGTGGGAGCCAAATCAGCACCCATGAAGTTCAAGTAAGATAGGAGAAATTTCTGGTTTTATCCGAAACCTGTCTTTAACCAAGATGTTGCTGATCTGCATGAGAGTAGCAATAGCAAGGAGAAGTGTCTCAAAAAATAGCATGTGTTCAGTTTCATTTTTTTTTTGTTCTGGACTTCTATTTCAGTAAACAGCCAAGTCTGTAATTCTTTTCACGTAGGGAGGAAGAAAAACAAGCAACAGGTATCTGTGACTCAAAAGGTATTTAGCCTTTGCTAAATTTAGCAAGGCTATGATCAACTGTAAGAGAGAGTTTTGTAATGGTTAATTACTACATCCACACTTAATGGTTTGGAATGCCCATTTGTTGTGTGACTTAAAGTAGTCTAAAGTCATAAAACATGGTTGTGGAGATGATAAGTTGATGGTCTAATAGCAAAATGTTTGTTCATGCTGAGCCTGCATCTTCATTACATTAGTAACACTATTAGTGTAAGCCATGTGTCTACTCAGGGAAGAAAAACTATTATTTAATGTAATTTAAAGAGTATTGCTGGCTTATCCGTCTGCATATATTGCTGATGGAAATTTAAATAGGCTGGGTGAATATGTATAAGAACTGCTAAAATGAATTCCTTGGTGATTGAGATAATTTGTCAGGAGGTCAGGCAGTAGTGAAGTTGGTCGTATGAACAGCCCTTAATAAATTGGCTGCATTTTTTCTTTCCAGCTTCTCAAAGAATGCACATGCTTTCTTTTCATAAAAATGGAGTTTATCAGACACTCATGAGCCAAACAGATCAGGTTTATACACTGGGGAAAATGCCAGGTAAATTTTTGATAGGATAGTATGTATTTTGGCAGCTGTTACTGCAATACACAAATTTGTATTTGTGCAATATACAAATTTTTTTTACTTCCTTTCCATTTTCCTTCCATAATAAAGATACTATGGAAAATTTTCAGTCCAGAAAAAGCAAGCTGTGGGGGTTGCCATGGAATTTCGTTCAGTAAAAATAGATAATATGCTCTGTTCTTTCTTGAAAAATGCATTGTTGCTTTGAAAATACTTCACACATGTTGGGAAGAGAGAAGGTCTGGATTAACATCTCTTAGTGGGACGTTTGAGAAGGGGCTTCAACCTCTACTAAAATGAAATGGCAAAGCCAGTTGTTGAAAATTGACTGAACAACAGAATTCAGTCTGGAATGGACTTTGTTAGGTTGCACTGCTTCAGCCTGTGAAAGCAGAGCTTTTTTCTTATGCTGCTCTTCTGAGCTCTGGCTCGTGAGGCAGACATCCCTTGCTGAAGCAGATCTGTGCAGTTTGCTGATTTCCAAGGTCACTGTGCTTTTCCTGCTGAAAAACAGCGTCTGAACCTCAGTTACTTTGCCCTGCTTTGATAAGTGGCCTCTGAAGTTTTTTACTGTTAGTTGTACAAACACTTTGCTCTGCTTGGCATTATTTGGAAAAAAAAAAGCAAACTGAGGAAGGTGGGCAAAACTTTTCAGTCTGACTCTTCTGAACATGTCTGTTCCAGGTTTATCTGTGTTTCAAAAAGGAGTTTATGAATTAGGTTTTTTAGTTGATAAACCTTTTTTAGAGATCATGAGTAGATTCCATAGTTTATCAACTGAATTTAAACAATCAATTTTCTGTTTCTAAATTAAATTGCTTTAAATACTTCTTGATCCCTACAAAATGCTTTATGTACTATGAAATACTACTACATGAAACTACACTTGTTAAATCAACAAGTCCAAGTTCTCCAGATTCAATCCAAGTTGTACAAAATAAAAGGTACTGAGGGAGAAGGTCCTTGACAATATCTGTGCACTGGATATTGACATATGCATATGCTTCTTTTCAAAATATCTTGCTGTATTTAAATTTTTTTTTTAACTTGTTATTGCTTACTGCATTTCCACTGGCCTTTGTCCCTTCCTCCCCTGATCTTCTGTGTTTTTCTAGAGACCTGTTGTACGTGAGACCTCTCAGGAACCTGTGCAGTTTGAATACGTTGGACTGTTACATTCTGAAACTTTCACCATGAAGAGAGCTGGGCAGAAGGTGGTGGCTGGAACTGAAGCTCCTGGAACATCACAGACAAGCAAAAAACAGAAAACTAGTTTATATGGCTCGGGGTTTGGGGAATCTGAGCCGTGCACCTCGATGGACTGGGGCAGCCTTCCACACCACGTGATTCTGCGTGTTTTCCAGTTCCTGACTTTAGTGGATCGAGCCAGGGCATCTTCTGTTTGTCGAAGGTGGAATGAAGTTTTTCACATCCCAGATCTCTGGAGGAGATTTGAATTTGAACTTAGCCAGCCAGCCACTTCTTATTTAAAGTCTACACATCCCGATCTCATTCAGCAGATTATCAAGAGGCACGCTGACCATCTGCAGTACGTCAGCTTCAAGGTAAGCTGTGGATGAGCTGTGGGTCAGTGGCACGTCACTGAGCACGAGGGATGCAGCTGTTCTGTGTCAGCTGCCTTAAGGGTTGTACCTGGCAAGTCTTATGTTTAAAAATGCAACTACTGCGACATTTTATTTCCACATGTGCAGACAGTTTCATACAATTTTGTATACTATAACCTCTGCAGAGTATAGAAATAGTGAGTGTGGTGCAAAACAGAGGTGGAAGGTGAGGCAAAATAAGAGATTTGTTCAAAATTATTCTTCAGGCTTTTGAATTTTGAAGGAGTTCATTATTTAAGATGCAAAGGTGTTGTCCATGTAGATAAAATTAATTAATTTGCTGGAGCAAGGACTTTGTCAAGTCTTTTTTTGGGCTCTAAAAATTGGCATTTTTAAAAAATGCATACATATCACTGTGTATTGTAGCACCAGTACTGTTACAGTATTGCAGTTGCATGAGGTTATTTGAAGACAAGACTTAGATTTAAGGTATGTGTTCATACTGGAATTACCCAGCAGTCACACTCAGGAAAATTTTCTAATAGGAACTTCCCTGAACTCTTTCTGGTCTTGAAATTTTCAGTCGATGTTGCTCTTTGTGCCTGTGGTGATTGCAGTCAGGAGCTGAGTAGATGTAGAACCAGCAGTCTTGGGTGTCCATGATGATTTCTAAATAATATTGCAGAATGACTTCACTGTTTTTAAATTGCTTTTATAGGTTGATAGTAGTACTGAGTCAGCAGAAGCAGCCTGTGACATCCTTTCTCAATTGGTGAACTGTTCTATCAAGACACTCGGTTTGATCTCTACAGCAAAACCAAGCTTCATGAATGTCTCTAAGGTAAACTTCTACAAATTGTAACTAACATACTTAATTCATTCTTGAACCACTTTAGCTTTCTTAATGTTCTCTTCTTAAGCTGATGGTAATTTTCATGAAACAATCTCTAGTTGCTTTGAAGTAACAGAAGAATTACTTACTGGAAAATAAAGTCCATTTCTGTTTTTCTACAGAAAAACTCCAGATACTTCAGGCTCATCACTGTGTCCAGTTATCCCTGTAGTTATCAATGTATTGATAACATTGTATACATGTATTGATAGTGAAATGATAAATCGGAGTAGATAAATATTGAGTGTAAGGTTAATTTTGTCACATGCAGCAGCATGTTTGTAAAAAAAGGTCCCCTCTGTTTATGTTGAAATAATCCTTTGTTACCTGAAAACGAGGATCCATGGGAAGTGTTTATTTTTATACTTTCTGCCTGTATAGAATGTGAGGTCAAAGCCCTGAAGTTTTGCTCATCTTTTCATAAGAATTTTTTCCCTCTTTCAATTTCTCTAAATAGGCTCATTTTGCATCAGCACTGACAGTAGTTTTTGTGAACTCCAAGTCATTATCATCAATCAAGATAGATGACACACCCCTTGATGATCCTTCCTTGAAGGTTCTTGTTGCTAACAACAGTGATACTCTAAAGCTACTAAAAATGAGCAGCTGTCCTCATGTTTCACCTGCTGGTGAGTACTGAATGTATGTGAAAAATGGAGTCATAAAGTATCATAATTGACTTAGTCTTGAGTTTGGACAGTTGGAAGGTGAAGAAGTTGGTTCTTAGTGAATGAGTTGGATTGATGAAGGTAGAGCTGCTACTCACTTGACTGCATCTTCTGGAGTCCTGGGGATATTTTTTCATTTTCTCCAGCTGCTTTGCTACCTCTGATGATAGGCCTTGAGGAGGAAAAGCCTTCAAAATTAGTGCAAGCCTTTCAGACATGCTCAAAGGATGTGATGTTCATTGCTTTACCATGTGAGGGTAACCTAATGGCTCTTTAATGTGTGTGCAGATTTTTAAACTTAACTAACCGGTGTTCTGTGGGAACACCACAGAATCCCTGATCCATGAATCAGCTACTGCTTGGTGGGATAAAGGAGATTATAACAGCTGTCAGGAATTGTTTTGCAGGGTGCTGAGAGTGTGTACACATTTCAGAAACCAGTGGTGTGTTTGATTGTGTTTCTGGCTTCCAGAGTGCCCTCATGTGTCCAGATCTGGGACTGGTGACTTCCTCATTGGTTGGTGAAGGACTCACTCCCTTCGAAATACACCCTTGCTGAAAGTTCAGAGGGCTTCAGGGTCCCTTCTCACTTTCCTTTCTCCTGAAACCTTAGTGCTGGGGAAAGGCAGTCTGGGTCTGGTCTGTTCGTGTATTCTTATCTGGAGTTCACAAAAGATGACTTAATCTGTGTTCTTCATATTCCAGCAGATAGGAGGAGTTAACATTACTTAGGTCTTAATTCACAGAAGGTTGTAGATGCTAAACTGGGTGGTGGTGACTTAAATAGTTGAAAGTTGGAGGAATGAGTATTAGGGAAGGGAATGGCAGCAACTTCAGCTGAATCTGACTTGATTTCAGTCACTTCTTCAAAGCTGAGCAAATTCTGCATAGGGAGGGGCAAAGAGTAGATACACAGATCCAAGATGAATGTGACTTGTGTCTTTTACTATGAAGTGTTAATGGCCAGAACTCTGTAAAAGGTTGTGGATACCTAAAATTTGGGAATTTCATGGGATTTGGATATAAGCATGAAAACTCAAGCCAACATGACAGAGAACAGCTGTGCTTTTATTCGCTTTTCATTTTAGAGAGTAAATTTTTTTGTTCCTCAGGTATTCTTTGTGTGGCTGATCAGTGTCATGGACTTAAGGAGCTGGCTTTGAACTACTACATATTAAGTGATGAACTGCTGCTGGCTCTTTCAAGTGAAAAACATGTTGATCTCGAGCACCTTCGCATTGACGTCGTGAGTGAAAATCCCGGACAAGCTCAATTTCACACCATTAAAAAACAAAGCTGGGATGCTCTTGTTAAACACTCCCCCAAAGTCAACATTGTGATGTATTTCTTCTTGTATGAAGATGAATTTGATGCTTTCTTCAGAGAGGAAACACCTGTCACACACCTGTACTTCGGTCGTGCAGTGAGCAAGGCCATGCTGGGTCGCATCGGCATGAACTGCCCCAGGCTGATCGAGCTGGTGGTGTGCGCCAATGGCCTTCAGCCTTTGGATGATGAACTGATCCAGATTGCTGAGCGCTGTAAGAACTTAACGGCCATGGGGCTGGGGGAGTGTGAAGTCACCTGCAGAGGTTTTATTGAATTTGTAAAGATGTGTGGGGGCAGGCTTACTCAGCTTTCCATCATGGAGGAGGTGCTGATTCCAGACAGTGATTACAGCTTAGATCGGCTTCATCTGGAAGTCTCCAAACACCTTGGAAGAATGTGGTTTCCTGATATGATGCCGACGTGGTAAATCCTTTCTGTCGATAAAATGGTGGGATTGGGGTGTTGCTTTCTATGCAAATAAAAAATTTAAAAATCAAATGTGAAAATTTTCTTCCAGATTTGAGTTTTTCTTCCTTGAGAAAACCTCTATTAGACTAACAGCAAAACACTCTAAAATATTAATTATGTATTGAAATAGAAAATAGTTTTAAGTGTACTTAACGGTTCTGAAAGTATGTGTGTGGTTTACAGGTGCTTCAAACTTCAGTGAATTTGGGCTTCTCTAAGCTTCAGTTTAAACATTCCATTTACTTTAAAGTGGATTTGGGTTTTTGGGTTTTTTTTTAATGTCTTCGTTTACTCTTTTAGGTCTAGTCAAAAGAGAAACTATTTTCTTTTAGGAAATCTATCTGTGTAAAGCTGGATAGAACTTTGAGTACAGTATTATTTATCATGAATGTTTTACATAGCTATTTTTTAAATAATTCATGTTTTATTTGTAAAAGCTTGTATATTAAAATACACTATCCCAGGTTAATCAGATATAATCTAGCTTAAATTCATGGCAGTCTAAAAAAATGTTAATAAGCTTATGCTTACAAAAATTTTTCCAGCTTTAAATTGCACTTTAAGTAATTTTGTCAGATTACAGAAACTAGGGAATGCATTGTACAGTATGTTGTTTTTGTCTTATGTGTTAAAAGGATAAGAAAGAGATTTTGTTAAAATTACTGATTATAAGTTTGGTTCTAGATTGATTACTTGAGTGAGTCATAAAGCACTTTGGAAACTGGCAGGACAATAAGGAATAGCTTTGGATTTGGGCTCAAGTCTTTGTAATCAAAGACTAATGTCTGAATGCTGTTCCATGCTTTCATTGCTAAGAAATAAGGATTTCATAAATGTAGCTAGTAAGAAGGAAAGACTAAATGCAGTACAATTGTCTTTGATCCATTTCTATTTGGAATCAAGAATTTGCAGCCCTTAAAATTGTCACTTACAGGACTAAATGGACTGTAGTAATCTCATCTGTTTCTTCCACAGCTTTGTGTAAGCCTGATTTCTAGAGAAAGGCTTGCTGAAAGTAATCCTGAAATATTTATTTCAGGACTGTTTAATACTTGTTGCTATTAATTGCTTTTTGAGACAGATTGTATTATATTTATTTTCTTAAAAAGGGAAAGGCATGGTGAGTTGATGTAAATTAGAGGATGTATTTTTGTGTTAACATTTTGCACACTGTAAACTTAAATGCATTGTATATAAATTTTTGCTGTAATGATTTTAGTGCCACACTTGTTGCATCTTCCTGTTGATAATGAGAAGTACAAGTGGTTGTCACTGTCGTGGCTTAACCCTGGCTGTCAGCTGAGCCCCTCACAGCCAGAGGGACGGGGGAGAGAATCAGAAGGTAAAAGTGAGAAAACTAATGGCTGGACATCAAGAGTTTAATAGTAAAGCCAGAGCCACATGGGCAGGCACCCCCCAAAAAGGGAATCCATTCACCACTTCCCTCAGCCATGTCCAGGAAAGCAGGGCTCCATCACCCATAAACACCCCGCTTCCTGCACCTTCCCCCAGCTTTATATGCTGAGCCTGATGTCATACAGTATGGAATGTCCCTGGGGTCAGCTGGGCTCAGCTGTCCTGTCCCTGTCACCTCCCAGGCCGTGCACCCTCAGCCTGCTGGGGCACTATAAAGCAGAGCAGGGCTGGGCTCTGCAGGCACTGCTCAGCTACAGCAAAAACATCCCTGTGTTACCAGTGCTGTTTCCAGTACAAATCCACAGCTCCATTCCAGCTCCTCTGAAGCAAATGGACTACCCCAGCTAGAACCAATGCATTCACAGCAGAGAATAAATTAGTTTCTTTCCCACTTCCACAAAACAGCAGCTAAAGGGTTAAACCACACTTTTCTTGGACACGCTTGTTCCTAGATGGAAGCCCAAGGATTCAAGGTAACACACAGACCTGAATCAGTAATGCTTCAGTGCCTGTTGCACAGTTAAGCATTTATCTGACTGGTTAGTAGAGGCTGTGAGCTGAGCACTTCCATAATCCAGGGGATTATAATTTAAACACAAAACTGAAATATTTCCAAACAGTATTTGGTTCAAGATGTGTGGTTTGCTTCAAATGGAAATGTAATAAAGTGGTTTAATCCATGCACTAGACTCATCCATCTGTTGCACTCTGTCCTCTTGGGGTTCTCTTGTGCTAGAAGCAGTGTATGTGACAAGCCTTGGGAGAGACTGGAGAATGGCAAATTAGTCATTATCATTTCATGGTTGTGCCTGGAACCTGATTTCTGACGTGCAGACTGTAAAATGGACTGTGGACAAAGCTTGTGAGTTGTTGGGAAGTCCTGGAGTGCTCCCTCTAGCCAGCAGAAGGGTGTTAGTGTATTTAGAAACACTGGTGACAGAGTTGCACTTCAGGGGGAAGTTCTTAAAAGGCTGCTTTGAATATTTTCCCTCTCTCAGTCGCTGTCACAAAGGCAGTGTTTCTGTGAAGCCACAAATCACAGAATCACTGAGATTGGAAAGGACCTCTAAGGTAATTGAATGTGGCTGTTTAATGTCAGCTTGCTCCAGCTCCAAGCTTCCAGTTAAATAGGCCTGCATTGATGAATGTTGGGATTTTTGATGCACTGATTTTCTAGAGCATTTGTTCGTCTCCCTGATCTGAACAAGTGAGGCCAGCTGGTGCTTGGGAGAGAAGCTAACAGGAATGCATCTTCTCTGCCACAGGAGGGAGTGAGCACTATGCATTTTAGCTGATTTTTCAGACTTTGAGCAAGCTTATAGCTGGTCATTGCTAATTTCCTGATTCTCTGGTAAATGCAAATTCCAACAAAAACTCAATTTTTTTTTTTTGTTTTTTGAGTCCCTGTTGCCATCCAACAGACACTGCTTGTGTAAGGCTCAAAGTATTGAATAAGTGATAGTATAAACTGTTGTGCATGGGAACAAAAACAATTTTTGGATGCTGAGATAGATTTATTTCGAATTTACTGCGTTTCCATTTCAATCTCTTTGCCCTTTTCCCCTTTCAAGATTGCTTGTAGGATCCGAGTGGTCGCAGTTCTCAATGTGAATATGAGATGTGATCCCAGGAAATACTCTTTGCATTGGCAACATTCTCCCAAGGACTTGTCCCTTGGAAATTGCACCATTGTATCTTATGGGATGGATACAGAGTAGTTTTACACAGAACTCTGGTGAAAAAACAAGACAGAAAACCTCAATGACTGATGAAACATTTGTTCTTCTGTACTATATTTCAGAAATAGTAACAATGTCTGTCTTGTCCTTTCCACTGAGACAGCAATAGTGGAAATTCCGAAATAGCAGAAATACTGTGGTCATAAAAATTAGGTAGTGGTTGGAGTCATTGACTTGGTAGAAGAGGGAAGGCAAGGAGAAGGTGGGAATTTGTGCCATAGGAAAGGGAAAAGCTTGAAGACATTCTGCAGAACTCAGTTATTTGCATTGTAGCAGGAGCAAAAAGTTCTGAATGTAAGTGGATAGAAGAAATCATGGCTAAACTAACTGGCTAACTGCAAGATAATGCATCCTTTATGAGCTCAAGACAAATAAAGGTTAAATGACAGCTATTTACCTGGTCCCCTGATTTGGACTCCATCATCAATGGCATTTCCATTGTGGAAGAATTTAATAGGCCCAGAGAGCTGGCCAGAGAAGGGAGCGTACACGGTGGCCCCGTCAGCACAGATGACATCCACTGCCCGGTGCTTCCCTTTGCCACTGCGTCTGAAAACAAGCACATCTTTACAGAAACCTCTGCTCAGGCCCAGTGCTGCAGAGAGAGGTTAGGCAGCGCATGGTGACATCTGGAAAGGGGTTTTAAGACAGAAACAGTGTCAGCAAACTGGCTGAAGGATCTGCAGAGGTGTGGGTGAGGTAGTGTCATGTAAGGGTAGATGACCTGTTGGAGAAAAATGCCTTTTTTCCGGGTCTTTAAATAAAGACCATAGAGTCTAATAAAACCATAGAATCATAGAAAGTTTGGTTGTGTGAAGGACATCAAGTCCAACCCTCCACTTGAGTCAGGAGTGCTCCCAGCACTAGGTCAGGTCAGGCATGGCTTAGTCTGATAAAAAGCTCCAAGCAGAGAGATGTCATGAACAATGTGGGCAGCCTACAAGTTTCTCAAGTCCAATCCAAGCCTTCAAAGCTGTAGTTTTTATGTGACTTAAACAAAGTTCAACTCTTACTTCAATGGAAATGCAGCAAAACTCCATGTGTTCCAATTATTATATTACCTTGGAGCTCCATAGTATCCACAGCCATACTTATCGCAGCCTCTTATCTCATTGGTAGGGTTCCCAGAGCACACTGCAGCCCAGCGCCCGTCCCGTTGTGGCAACGGTGGAACATCTTTGAAACACAGGAACACAGCACATCAAAGTTAACCTCTAGATTCTTTTATCACTTGCATATTTGCAACTACTATGATTTACAGTTAGTTAACATGCTGACATTACATCCCATGCTTCTAGTTGGATATTTCTCCATAAAATTTATAATCCTTTGGGAAATGTAAATGGAATGTAGACCTAAGTTGGATGGTAGTATTTCTAGATTAGGGTTATTTCATAGAAGAAAATGCTTTAAATACAAAAATTCAAAAAGTGTATCACTGGTCCTGGAGTGCAAACCTACTCGTGTTCTGAGTTACATTTTCTGCTGTTAAAGGTTTTTTTACCAGGTGTAAGCAGATGAGTAGGATCAGAGTGGTCGCAGTTCTCAACGTGGATATGAGAAATAATGCCAGGATATACTTTCTGCATTGGCAGCATTTTCCCCAGTCGTTGCCCTCTGCGGATTTGGCCGTGGTAGCGGATGGGGTGAATGCAGACGAGCTTCACACAGTAATCTGGGAGAGACGGGAGAGGAAGCGGGGTCAGGAAACATCAGCTGCAATTCTCCTGGGCTGAGCAAGCAGCATTCCCTGCCAGCCTCTTACTGAGGCTGTTAGGATGAAGCAGAAATTTAGTCAAGGTACCAACAATGGTGAAATCAAAATTACTATATTTGCCAGGGCAAAAAGGAAAAAAGGGTGTTGGAAAATAGAGACAGGAAAACATCCTCTCAGCAAAACTGAGGATGTGTTTCCGGTGCTTTATTTTTACTGTTTCCTATTTTTTGATTTGGGGTTGTTATTTTCCTGCTACCTGTTTTTCAACTCCTTTCTTCCCTCCTCTCCAAGAAAAGCATAGGAAAAGACTACATCCTGCTGGTGCTGTCTTTCAATATTTCAACGTACCAGAGAGGATGTAAGATTAATCAACACTGTGCTTGGATTGAAAAACCACAGAAACCTTGCTCAAGTATATGAAGTGATTACTTGTGCACATCACACAGCACACCTGCTGTTAATTACTTGCCTGATCCCTTGATTTGGACTCCATCATCAATGGCATTTCCATTGTGGAAGAAGCGGATGGGTCCCGAGAGCTGCCCGCTGAAGGGAGCGTACACCGTGGCTCCGTCAGAGCAGATGACGTCCACACCCGCATGCTTTTCTTTGCCACTGTGCCTGGAGGCAGAAATACAAACTTGGGGACATCTCTCAAGGTTAATGTTATGTTTCAATTGGTCGCTTAAGGCAGGATGATAGCTGAAGCTTGTCTAACAAAAATTTTTTACCTGCAATGAAATTGAACAGAAGTAGCAGGTTTGAAGCATCTTTTTTGTTGTTGTTGTTGCAAGTTGTTCACATTACTCTGACCTTCTTCAGAGTGGGATGAAATTTCAAATTTAAGCTTATTTTTTATTTTCCCAAGTTCATGGGGTATTTCAAGCTGTTAGAGAAAAGTACCATTTTATCCCAAAAAAAAATCTGTGCCATGTAAAACAGAATCTTGGCTGGCATTTTCTCACTTAGAAATCTGAATTTGGAAACTGCATGATGAAGGTGGACACTTTTAGAGCCTGAGGAGAGGAGATGACAAGAAAATGTGGGAGTCATTCTACATATAAAAGCATTTTTTCAGAGAAATATAACCTGTTGTGGTATGAGGTCCCTGCTTAAAGACAGTGATGCTGACAGATTTTGTGTAATTGAATCTACTCAGCTTCCTGTAAGCTGTTGCTGAGTGTTGGTTAAATTTCTGGAGTATAAACAAGGGTAAATGACACAAATCCTTGAAATACTTCCATTTCCTTTACTCTGTGATTCATGTATCAATCCTGCTCCTTCACCCCTGCATCTGTTGTCAGCAGCGTATCACTGTGCTTCTGTAAATGGCCAAGGAATATCCCAAAAATCAGCAAGAGGTCCTGCAGACAGCAGTATTCTCTCCTTCTGAGTGTCGGCCCTGTGTAACTGCTGTCTTTCTCGTGCCTGCACATTTAATTTAGGGAGAGAGGTGACCCTGGTGGCCAGGCAGCTGTGTTACCTGTCAGCGCCGAAATTCCCGCAGCCGTATCTGTCGCAGCCGCGGATCCGGTTGGTGGGATTCCCGCTGCAGATCTGTGCCCAGTGCTTGTGCTGCTGTTGGGGCGGGTGTGCATCCAGTTGCTTGGTGAAAACTTCACATGGAAGAGAGGAAAAACAGGAAAAAATCAGCCATGTTCTTTGTCCAGTGCAACAGAAGGCCTTCAGGTACAAAACAGGGTGTTTAAAGGGAAAGACATGAGCCCGAGGAGTTTGTCATTTCAGAAACTGTAGGTAAAAGGACATTATACAACCTGCTGTACAGGCTTGATCTGTTTTTTCCTGATGTCTTGCTTTAAGGTATGACCAAAAAGAAAGCAGAGCTATAGACAAAGATGTTTAAAAATAGTTTGTGAAATAAACTATTTTTACTTTCTAATGGTACTGGGTTGATGGTTGGACTTGATTATCTTAGAGGTCTTTTCAAACCATAATGATTTTATGATTCTTTCTGAAAGCTCCAACTACTTCAATATGTATCTCTTATTGCACACCTAATTCCATATTTTATAATAGTCATAACTGTCCACATTATCATCATTCCTCATAAAACTAGAGGGGAAAAAAACCCTCAGCATTATTTACATTCAAGTGAATTTCAATAATTCATTATTGTCTGCCTAAAGCCAGTGAAGCCCAGCTGCATGACAGCAATCTCAACTCACCAGTGGACACCAAGCTGACCAGAGTGACCAGACTGAGGGCTGGCATT